TAGCCTACTTACTGGTTATTGTTATTCGTTATTCACTGTGTATTTATTCCTCAGGTTACTATTTACATTTTTGTTTTGTCTTTTTTTAACTTAAACTCTGAAAAGGACTGGTAAATAAGCATTTCACTGTTAGTCTACACATGTTGTTTACAAGGCATGTGACAAATAACATTTTATTTTATTTATAGTAACCTGATTCATAGGCTCTGAGAAGCTTTATACATATGGCCCCTGTTCTACTATACGTTTTTATTTGGACATTTTGTAACGTTGTAGCCTCCTGAACAAGCCCTATGTATGTGCCGCATGTGCACCAACTGCCCCTGGTGGCCAAAGCTCCAGTCGAAGGGATGACAAACCAGAGTGGGAGGAAATGGCGACTGTGCTTGAATCTAAAAGTGTGGCAAGTGAAGTGTGTGATAATGAATGGAAAATAGTGAAATCAATGAATGGAACAAAATTAGCAAAAGTTGTAGTAGAAGACAAGGACCGGTCCAATAACGCATTTCTTATTGGACTGCGTTTTTTGGACAAGGAGATTCATTTAGGAAATGTAATATTGAGGACTGTGAAGAAAGCAGTGGGAAAGGTGGATCCAATCAAGGTGACTAGAAGCGGCCTTGTTTTGGTTAATTGTGTTGATGAAGAACAGAAGAAGCGTGCACTGGATCTGGCAAAATTATCCACGTCAGAAGTAACATCTATTGATCTTCAGAGCAGGGCGCCTGCCAAAGGCGTTATAGCTGGAGTCTCGTTGGATATACAGTACCAGTCACCCCTAGTTTGGACACACCTATTCATTCCAGGGTTTTTCTTTATTTGTAATATTTTCTACATTGTAGAATAATAGTGAAGACATCAAAATAATGAAATAACACATATGAAATCATGTAGTAACCAAAAAAATGTTCAACAAATCTAAATATAGTTTATATTTGAGATTCTTCAAATAGCCACCCTTTGCCTTGATGACAGCTTTGCACACTCTTGGCATTCTCTCAACCAGCTTCACCTGGAATGTTTTTCCAACAGTCTTGAAGGAGTTCCCACATATTCTGAGCACTTGTTGGCTGCTTTTCCTTCACTCTGCGGTCCAACTCATCCCAAACCATCTCAATTGGGTTGAGGTCGGGGGATTGTGTAGACCAGGTCATCTGATGCAGCACTCCATCACTCTCCTTCTTGGTAAAATAGCCCTTACACAGCCTGGGGGTGTGTTGGGTCATTGTCCTGTTGAAAAAGAAATGATAGTCCTACTAAGCCCAAACCAGATGGGATGGCGTATCGCTACCGAATGCTGTGGGAGCCATGCTGGTTAAGTGTGCCTTGAATTCTAAATAAATCACAGACAGTGTCACCAGCAAAGCACCCCCACACCATAACACCTCCTCCTCCATGCTTTACGGTGGAAACTACACATGCGGAGATCATCCGTTCACCCACACTGTGTCTCACAAAGACACGCCGGTTGGAACCAAAAATCTCCAATTTGGACTCCAGACTAAAGGACACATTTCCACTGGTCTAATGTCCATTGCTCGTGTTTCTTGGCCCAGGCAAGTCTCTTCTTATTGGTGTCCTTTAGTAATGGTTTGTTTGCAGCAATTCGACCATGAAGGCCTGATTCACACAGTCTCCTTCGAACAGTTGATGTTGAGATGTGTCTGTTACTTGAACTCTGTGAAACATTTAGTTGGGCTGCAATTTCTGAGGCTAGTAACTCTAATGAACTTATCCTCTGCAGCAGAGGTAACTCTGGGTCTTCCATTCCAGTGGCGGTCCTCATGAGAGCCAGTTTCATCATAGCGCTTGATGGTTTTTGCGACTGCACTTGAAGAAACTTTCAAAGTTCTTGAAATGTTCCGGATTGACTGACCTTCATGTCCTAAAGTAATATTGGACTGTCGTTTCTCTTTGCTTATTTGAGCTGTTCTTGCCATAATATGGACTTGGTCTTTTACCAAATAGGGCTATCTTCTGTATACCCCCCCTACCTTGTCACAACACAACTGATTGACTCAAACGCATTAAGAAGGAAAGAAATTCCACAAATTAACTTCTAAGAAGGCACACCTGTTAATTGAAATGCATTTCAGGTGACTACCTCATGAATCTGGTTGAGAGAATGCCAAGAGTGTGCAAAGCTGTCATCAAGGCAAAGGGTGGCTATTTGAAGAATTTCAACTATAAAATATATTTTGATTTGTTTAATACTTTTTTGGTTATTACATTATTCCATATGTGTTATTTCATAGTTTTGATGTCTTCACTATTATTCTACAATATACAAAATAAAAACCTTGAATGAGTAGGTGTGTCCAATCTTTTGACTGGTACTGTAGATGATGAGTACCTTAGTCAGAAAATCCCAGGAGTGGTCAGTGCACGTCGCCTGACCCGTATGGTAAATGAAAGGAAGGAGAAAAGCCTGTCGATATTATTGTTGTTTGAGGAGACTTTACCCGAATATGTGAAGCTTGGATATGTGAGGTATGCGGTGAGAGCAATTGTGTCCAAACCATTACAGTGTGGAAATTGTAAAGGATATGGTCACGTGTCAAATGTTTGCAGACGGGAGAAGTATGATATTGAAGAATCTGTGAATGGAAAATGTTGCAACTGTGGTGGGGATCATACTCCGGACTTCCTTGAGTGCCCTGTTAGGGTGAAGGAGGTTGAGGTGTCAAGGATCAGGACTGCGCAGTGGATCTCCTATGTGGAGGCGGTGAAGAGAGTCGAAGGGGCAAGAGGCAACAGTGTTGAAGATATGGCGGTGGATGCATTGCAACCAGTTACTAGTGTTGTAAGTCAATCGGGTGATCTGGATACACTCATTGTGAAGAAGGTGGATTTTGTGGCATTTATAGCCGCAGTGATTAATTGTACAGCACAAGTGTCTAAGAAGTCCAAGAAGCTGGATATCATTATATCTGCAGCCGATAAGTTTTTGGGGCTCCAAGGCTTCACGGCAGAAGCACAACAAGGACTTTTGTCGCTAGGAAATGTCCCGCCCTCACAGGAGGCTTCTGAGCCTGTGTTGGAACCTGATTAGAATGAGGTTTTTACAGAAAAGCAGGTTGATATTTTATTTATTTTTACCCAAATGTTTTCCTTTTTTGGGATCCTTATTATCCACCCGCACAGTAGGTGGTGTAATGCACATTTAATTGTTGCGAACACCATTATACCATAGAAGAAGAAGCTCCAGTCGGAAGTGGGAAACTTCCCCAAAAAGGAGGTTATAAGTCTAATATGATTGTGTTCAAGTGCTTTTGAAGTCAGAACAATTCTTCAACCAATAAGAGTTTAGCTATCTAGATAAGCTAGCTAATGTTGCTAATAATACAATTAGCTAGCTGACTTAGCATTGACAATATGGTCAACCACCTACCGGCTTTGCTTTTTCCATTTATGTTTTGAGGTTGGACTTTAGCACATATAGCTCGTTAGCACATAGGGTGCGCTGATTGGTGTCACCTCGTTAGTCAGAATGTGTTACACCTGTGCTGGTTGCCGTCTCGTTCGTGGGAAGGTGTTTCACCTGTGCTGGCCCAGGTGCTATTTAAGGGTGGCTGGCCCAGTGCTCCTTTGGTTTTGAGGGAAGTGGTGCGTCAACAACTTTAGTTGGTTTCTAGGAAAACATTCCTTTGTCTGATTTTGTTTTTCTCCATCTTTTTGGTTTGCTTCCTGTCTTTAAGTTTGGTGTTTGTTTTATTTTTGCTTGCCTGTTGTTGGGCAAATTTAGTGGGCACTCATGGTGGGTGTCTTTTAGGTTCCAATTGTTTCAGTGGACACCCCCATGAGTGTCTTTCAGAACCCCTCCTAAAACCCCACCTGATTTGTGTTGGTTGTTGTCAGTGACTCTTTGTTAGTTCCCCCTTCTGTTTGAGTGACTATTTGGTGTTCTTGCTGGGAAATGTAACAATCCACAATAAGTTTGTAATTGTCAAACTGATTTGTTGTCATTGTTTTGGTTGAAAAGGTGAAAGGTCAGTGGTGAAATGTCGCAACTCAGGTAACACAATTTTCTCAGTTTCCCACTTGTAATTACTACTTGGAGGGTCGTTCAAGTGAAATTTCCCATTTGGAACTCTGAACTTCTGATAACACTTGGACGCCCCATAAATCCCATACCAGAAAGTTTGTAGTAATAACAGTGACAACGCGAGAGTCCTGTCAATCAACAACAATTCAGCTTTATTTAACATAGATTAATCTCTCTATGTAAACAACTTGTACCGTCGAATCTGTCGAAGGAATGGGATGCGTGGGATAACGAGCAGCAGTAGTTTGGGTTTTTCATCACTGATTATTTGGACAAATCATGATTTCGCAGGTGTTAGCATCTTTAGAATTTTGGAAGCGGAGGGGGCATTTGGCCCGTAACTTGCAAAAAGAGAGGGTGTAGCTCTCTTAATCCCTTCTCTTAACACGTATGGACCCAGATCTTAATCGAGCAGCTGACCAATTACGTGAGACTTTAGTTCTGGGTTAACCAAGATTAAACATATGTACATCATTGTTATCATTGTCTTTTGGGACACACAGTTTGATAGCAGGACACAATGCATATACATAAAGTGGAGGACAACAGAGAGTAAAATGTCATGTGTCGCTAGCTACTAGACAACACCATTACGTTGTAGCTAGCTAGTCCATAAGCAGGACTGTAGTTTTTCTATCTGAAAACCTGTAATTCTACTAGTAATCCTATCTAATTTGTTAGCTATAGTTTTCTCTGTTTACATATAGCATGGTGTTTAGCTTGCTATCTGTGAGTCAATCGCAGCTGGCTGTATTTCTGCAAAGTCCTGCGACGCCGACGTTAGCTAGCTGGCTGCTTTACTGCTTGGATGCGGCATGGAGACTGCTTCTCCTCAGACAGGGTGGTGAAAGCTTTGCTGAGAACCCATTGGCTATCGAACGGACATTGGGGTGAGGCATGGGTCTTGATGACCTGGGAGGTTCTCTGAAATAATAGTTTGGTTAGCTGCTACCAACTACTCCTCCTTGCTCTTTGTACCGCTTCTGTTATCATGCCCATTCGTGTGCCCATTGGCATTAGCCCCATTAGAGCTAATCTTCCCCTCGGCTGTCAGTCTACGAATGCAGTCGAGGGGGCCCTTCCCTTCGAGAACCGAGGGGTTGCGGTAAGACCCACCAATGTGGTCCCACAAGGTGAAGTACTGGCCGTAGTTGACGTTGAAGAAGAGGTGGTGGTCCGTGTGGTGGGCCGCCCCGTTGAGCACCTCCTGCAGTGGGCCGGGCATGCGGTAGTTGCCGTCGTGGATGGACACGGTCCAGATGTTGACGAAGATGTAGAGGGCCAGGTAGAGCACCTTGTGCAGGGGGAAGAGGAAGGGGTAGACGTGGTAGGGCAGGCTCGACAGGAAGCCATCCAGTGGGTGGAAGGCGTGGCTGGCGAACGGCGTGGGGATCTTCAGCACATGATGCTTCTTGTGGAAGTACTGAGGGGAGGGAACATGTCAAAGAGATGGTCCGTTCAAGTGAAGGGATTCAAAAAAGGAACTGTATTTAACAAATATTTGCTGAGGAATAGATAACATACAAAACATAAAACCTGTATATGGATCTGTTTGATCACATTCAAGTGTGCCCGCCATTGAGGATAGTACCAGCAGACGATAACACACACTGTACTGAAGATATAGCACTGGCTTTGTTCTACCTCTGTACATTACATACACAATAACTTAGTAACAACATGTATGCCAAGAAGTGGAAGGGAAAATGGTTAAATTGTTAATCAGCTTTAAGACAATGTCAACTGCCTTAATCTCAGTAAGATAATTAGTTGACTTAATATACAGTATTTGTCTGTCATTGTGGACTGATTTGTAATACTGTGCATCTCCAACATCCTATCTACAGCAACAATCCATGACCAATTGACAGTGAAAGGACCTACCCAGTACCACACTTTCCCATTGGTAACAAGACTTTGTAATGCCCACCTTGTAAATACACCTGTGGTGAAGAAACCGATGAATCCAATAGATGCACCCGTCCGTGAATAACACAAAGGAAATCATGCTGAAAAGCACAAAGGGCCATCCTGACAAAACAAACCACCATTAGTATCAAAATGACAATACCGTTTGACAAACATTACAGAGCGTATGAGCATCAGTGAACGCAGCATTGTCTTACCCATGGGAGATTCTTCAACATTGTCATAGAGCTTGCTGTATCCTTTGACCTCAAGGAAAAATATTGCCACAGTGGGGATACTGATTATGGGTAGCGAGGTCATGGCGTGTTTGATCTCCCGCCACACTTGGTTCTGAGGACCAACAATGATCTAAGATCAATTTTCATCAAGAAAACAGTTGGGAAGAAAGAATAGTAAACAAAAAGCAAATGCCAACTCTCAAGTAGTAACCTTACAGTATGGCAATAAACCTTCCTTGGCGCTCTTCATAAATTGTCGCAGGCCAACTTCATACAACTATTGTAGCCTGGTCTCAGATCAGTTTGTGCTCTCTTGCAAAGTCCTACAGGTATTGCGACATTAAACAAGATCTGGGACCAGGCTACAAGTATTAATAAAGAAGGACATACCTTTAGAAACTGTGGATGTTTCATGAGGTTGTGGTCAAAGATGAATTGGTAGCTCAGCCAGCCAAGGCCCAGGTAGAGGACCGCGATCCCCAGGTTGGTGACTACCAACAGGCTAATGATCTGGCGCAATGCTGTGTCCTCGGGCCATGACGACGGGAACACGTAGGGGGTGAGGACATAGTGGTCGGCAACGTTCAGCACGAGATCCATGTCTGAATCTGTCAAGTTGATAAGCAATGGCTTTCAGCAGAACCTTCTAGACTCCGGTTAGAAGACTCCTCCTAGACTCCTCCTCTCAAGGAGTTCATCCAACCCACACATCATAAGTGACAAACAATTCTACTACATCTGCAAATTCCTCACTTATCAAAGCCAGAGACAAGGCTTATTCAGAGGGAATGCTCTGGTTTTGAGAAGTTAAGGAATTTGCATGTAGCAGACAAAAATGTCACAAATGATTTGTGGGTAGAATAGACTCCTTGAGAGTGACATGTAAATTGGATATGGCTTATGAATAGGGTGGGTAGTTCTATAGACTATATCAATTATAGTTTTATCATATAGATACAGTTGCGTGTTGTAGTAGAACTAACGTAAATAACAGTATGATAAATGGTAGTTTTTTTTTTTAAGCAGTGAGATTTGGGAATGCTACTGCTAGTGCTTTTTAAAGCAGTGACATCTGATCATGTCTTGAGGTAAACTGGTAGGTAGTCTTTTACTAGGCAATCTTTTAAGTATGCTGGCACCACCAAAGGTTTTCCAGGAATGGGAATGCTTATCTGGGTACAAGCCTAGTCGTTGTAGATTCTTGGTATTCCAGAAAGAGGATAGCATGCATCTGTCTCCCATATGCACGGTCATTTAGGAAGATGCATGCTATCACTTTTCATTTAATGGAACACCAAGGCTCTAATTTGGTCGTCTATTCCAGACATTTCCAGAAGGTTAGATAAACAGTACAACATATAGAGATGTGTAGGATCTAGCAAACCTACACATTACAACTAATATATTTCAAAGTAGTCTCAGTCCAATAGAATGCATTAGTGTTAATTAATGAATCTACATCAGGGATGGACAACTGGCGGCGGCCCACCTTTTGTAGGCCCACGGCCAATAATAATAATAATAACAAATTAGGTGCTAAGTCGGGGTCTCAACTTACTGTTGAGAGGTAGAATACACAAGGTGCAATTTCAAAAAATTGGTTGTGCATCAGCAGTTTTTCCCTGATGTCAGTCACTGACAGTCACTCAATTAGCCAATGTCAGCAACAAAAAAATGGATTGGTAAATTAGTCTAGTAGCAAGCTATATTTACGTGTAGTAATCATGGTCGAATTACCAACTGGGGAGCCCCCATTGATCATCAGATATCATATTAAAAAACATTTGTCCACCCTACGGCAAAATGTGTAGAATTGCAGGAAATTAGCTGTGAAACGGCAACATTTTCTCTACACCCCATGGCAAAATGTGTAGAATTGACACATTTTGATGTGAAGAGAGAGGCGCAGAGAGGGCACATTCGCTATATAACGCAACATATATTGTGACAAAACCATCAGTAGAGTTGAAAATGCGATGGAAAGCCATTTAACTTGAATGTTTTATTTGGTACATGTGAATTTAATGGCAAAAGGTATTTTTATGTGCACTACGTTATCATGCACAGCCTTTAATCCTCAATAAATCAATTAGATGGAAACACATCTCTGGTGGGAAAATGTGCATATTGTTTTTATGCAGATTTGAGAATATTCACATGAAACCTAGCTAGTGTGTGGAAATATCCTTTAAAAAACAGGAAAATCCAATTTTTGACTGTGTTGCCCCATAAACAGTGAATAGCTAACTAGAGCAATCTACAAGCAAAGTATTTATAAATACGAGAATGCTCCTGAGCATGTTTACAACAAAGCCAGTTAAAATAGTTACACTTACTTCTGTCCATGCACTCCCTCAAACATGTCCACTTGGAGAGAGACTGAGGAGGCTCTGACCTGAGTAGGCAGAGGGGATGGCAAGTGTCTGGCCCCCTAGCAACCTGAGCCTAGCAACCTATCTGTGGCCTAATCACAGAGGTCACTGGGATTTTGAGGGGCAGGTTAATGAACCCCCAGTATCTCTGGCACCATCTGGGGATGGGTGGAGTGAGGTATGAGATGAACAGAAAGACAGTGGGAGTTCTCTACAGCCACCTCTAAATATGTGCAGCATCAGTGATGTAAAGTACTTAAGTAAAAATACTTTGAAGTACTACTTAAGTAGTTTTTTTTGGGTATATGTACTTTACTATTTATATTTTTGACAACTTTAGTTTTACTTCACTAATAATGTACTTTTTACTCCAAACATTTTCCCTGACACCCAAAAGTACTCATTACATTTTGAATGGCTAGCAGGACAGGAAAATGGTCCAATTCACACACTTATCAAGAGAACATCCCATGTCATCCCTGATGTCTCTGATCTGGCAGACTCACTAAACACAAATGCTTTGTTTGTAAATTATGTCTGAGTGTTGGAGTGTGCTCCTGGCTATCCATAAAATAAAATAAAATGGTGTCGTCTGGTTTGCTTAATATAACTAATGTGAAATGATTTATACTTTTACTTTTGATACTGAAGTATATTTGAGCAATTACATTTACTTTTGATACTTAAGTATATTTAAAACCAAATACTTTTACTCAAGTGGTATTTTACTGGGTGACTTTCACTTTTACTTGAGTCATATTCTATTAAGGTATCTTTACTTTTACTCAAGTATGACAATTGGGTACTTTTTCCACCACTGTGCAGCATATTTAACACGAAGAATGAATTCCCCCTGCCAGAATGTCAAAGTCTGCTGGGAGCCAGCTATGTTCCACCACCCTGTCATTTCAAGTCGAATTTTGGCTACCACATAGATAGAGCCTGGAAACACTGTACAACTGAATGGAACTTGCAAAGGAAAGAGACAAATTAATCCACAGGATGGCGCTGTAGGCACATGAGTCTTAATTTCCTGTCAAAAATAACATCAGATCACAACTTTGAGGAAGAGTTTGGTTGTCATTCATTTAAATTAAAAGGTGAATCCCAGTAGGTGAATTTCAAGTTGGCATAGGATGTGGTGAAGGAAGTGGCCCCTTCAGTGGCAAACTGCAAACACACACACCGCACGCATGTACGCACAGTCAAATTCATGACCAAAATTTATTGAGTGCAAAATAATATCATTCAATGATACATACAGACAGTCTTTATCATAGGAACATAAGTAAATGTCTTGTTGATCTTGGAAGACTGCAATATAACAGATATGGAAAAAGCCATCTGTGAAAAATCCCAGCACAGATACATATAAATAAAAGAATGTGTATAATTTAAAATATCTTGTTAGAGTAGCAATTGTATTACAGTACAAGTAAATTAAAAACAGGATAAAACCTCTAAAAGGTCCCCAAAAAGTATAACATATTTCAATATATTTAACTAACCTTATAAGCTACATATTGTTTCTAACAATAATGCTATTACCTACTCACAACCTTTCCTCAATCACATTTCCCATTTAACTTTTCTGTTATCGTTCTACAGCACCAGCAATGCCAAAGTCTACATTTCAAAATGTAAACATTGAAGTACTGATACATTAATATAATACAATTTGTTTTAAAATTATTAGTGTTAAGTTAACGAAACATTAGAGCCTGTATTTTATGAATGATTCAGTTCTACTTCTCTTATCTCATTCCTTTCCCTTCTCTCTCCATCTTTTAAATCGGCGTCCTTCAAAATTCAAATTCTTTGTTGCAGGTGCCATGGTAACAGTTGAATAAGATGAGAAAAAAGAAGAAACCAGCACACTGCTCTTGCTAGTATCACTGCTCTTTACTAAGCTTTACGTATCGGCCTAAAGGTCAGAGCTCTGACGAAGGCCTTGAGGCCGATACGTAAAGCTTAGTAAAGAGCAGTGATACTAGCAAGAGCAGTGTGCAGGTTTCTTCTTTTTTTTTCAAATCTGCGTCCTTGCAAATCTTTCTCATGCCCTCTCATACCCAATGCACAAAATCTTACCAGCCAAGAGCCAAAACACACACAAGTTTGTGCATTTGTGTGTGTGTGTGTGTGTGTGTGTGTGCATTATCTCAGACCAGCTTGAGAATCGACACACCAAATTTCATAAGGCAACTTAGGCCTACTTTTAGCATTTGTCAGTAGTACAATATTTCATGACCTTGTCTGAGATTTGACGCTGGTGCTGTAGACCAAGCCAGTCAATCATATATCACACATCAACCATTATGGCAGTGATGACCTCTATTAACTAAGGATTAGCTATGAGGGAAGTACAGTATAATATCTCCTGGATAATCATAATAACATTAAGGACGTTCATTATTTAATCACTGGCAGACATGCCTATTTCTAACATTTTACTTTAACAAAGAAAAGCACATGTAATGATACATTTCAAGTTGGCATAGGATGTGGTGAAGGAAGTGGCCCCTTCAGTGGCAAACTGCAAACACACACACCGCACGCATGTACGCACAGTCAAATTCATGACCAAAATTTATTGAGTGCAAAATAATATCATTCAATGATACATACAGACAGTCTTTAGCATAGGAACATAAGTAAATGTCTTGTTGGTCTTGGAAGACTGCAATATAACAGATATGGAAAAAGCCATCTGTGAAAAATCCCAGCACAGATACATATAAATAAAAGAATGTGTATAATTTAAAATATCTTGTTAGAGTAGCAATTGTATTACAGTACAAGTAAATTAAAAACAGGATAAAACCTCTAAAAAGTCCCCAAAAAGTATAACATATTTCAATATATTTAACTAACCTTATAAGCTACATATTGTTTCTAACAATAATGCTATTACCTACTCACAACCTTTCCTCAATCACATTTCCCATTTAACTTTTCTGTTATCGTTCTACAGCACCAGCAATGCCAAAGTCTACATTTCAAAATGTAAACATTGAAGTACTGATACATTAATATAATACAATTTGTTTTAAAATTATTAGTGTTAAGTTAACGAAACATTAGAGCCTGTATTTTATGAATGATTCAGTTCTACTTCTCTTATCTCATTCCTTTCCCTTCTCTCTCCATCTTTTAAATCGGCGTCCTTCAAAATTCAAATTCTTTCTCATGCCCTCTCATACCCAATGCTCAAAATCTTACCAGCCAAGAGCCAAAACACACACAAGTTTGTGCATTTGTGTGTGTGTGTGTGTGTGTGTGTGTGCGTGTGTGCATTATCTCAGACCAGCTTGAGAATCGACACACCAAATTTCATAAGGCAACTTAGGCCTACTTTTAGTATTTGTCAGTAGTACAATATTTCATGACCTTGTCTGAGATTTGACGCTGGTGCTGTAGACCAAGCCAGTCAATCATATATCACACATCAACCATTATGGCAGTGATGACCTCTATTAACTAAGGATTAGCTATGAGGGAAGTACAGTATAATATCTCCTGGATAATCATAATAACATTAAGGACGTTCATTATTTAATCACTGGCAGACATGCCTACTTCTAACATTTTACTTTAACAAAGAAAAGCACATGTAATGATAAAACAATATTACATAAAAACACATCATACAATTTACCAGCAACTGCAACAAGTAGTTCATAATAGAAGTAGGCTATCACCCAGATAAAGTAATTGCTGTATATTTGCTATAAAGGCTCTTTTCTGTCTGAAGATAAACATTTTCGGTCTGAAGAAAAAGTGAATGGCCAGAACGAGTACATCACTAGATGGAACCATTCCAGACAAAAGTTACCCCTATCCACAGATCTGAGATCAGCTTTCCTTCAACTTATCATTCAGCTTTCCTTCAACTTATCATTTGCTTCACCACTAGGAGTTACAAACCAAAAACTGACCCTGAATCTGCACTTTCAGACACTTTCGGAGTATGACCGTATAGAAGGTCTGTCTGTGTCTGTAACAAGACTATTTCAAAGCCTTTATCCATCCTTTCTGTGAGTGGTGTTTGCCCTCACGTGTGCTCCTTGCGTGCCATGTCCCAAAGGTTCACATATAGAGCTGCAAAATAAACCCATCTGTCACATTTCCTTCCCTCTTCCTCGCCTTTCCTCCTGTATTTAGACAAAGCTTTCCACTTTGAGGATGCCCTGCTAGACAGAATATTCACCAAAAGGGGAAGTTTGTTTTGGCTAAGCTTAGCATGGCGCAGCTTAACCCCGTTAGGCCCAGTTCAGCCTAGTTAAATCCATTTAAACACAGCTCAGATCAGTTTTGTTGGGTTACAGAAAGAATGTCCAGATGGGTGTTTCAACCCCCCCAGCCCTGCAGTCTCAGATAGATATGGAGTTGCCATTGTGCTGGTTGGGGGGTAGACTGAGGCTGAGACTGGGACTGAGACCCAGGTTGAAGTTGGGCTGGGGGTCCGAAGGGGTTAAGGCTAAATCATTAAGATTGGGCTCAGAGTCCGTGGTAAGGGTGACGTCATTGAGGTTGGACTGGGGGTCAAGAGAGGTCACGGTCAGGTCATTGAGGTTAGCCATGCGACGGAAGACGAAGTGAAAAGGTGCGGCCTGGGGTCGACTGTGGAGCTCAGCTTTGATCTTCTGGGGGTGTGTGTCAGGGGCTAGCTGCTGGCTCGAGCCCTCAGTGAGCAGGAACAGAGCGTAATTCTCAGGGTCGAGAACTTTGAATTTGTAGGCGCAGATCTGGCAGACTTCCTCGGTGGTGGCGTAGGGCTGCACCTGCAGGGTTTTGGCCGTGCAGCCGCTGTCCAGCTCTTGGAGCGCCACTCGCAGGTAGTTCTGAGGAAAATGAAAAAGATAAGGTTGTTTAGATGTATTTAGTCAAAGGGACTAAGAGTTAAGAATTCAGTGTGAGTGTGTGTTACCTGGAAGTCATCTACGGAGGGAGCAGTGCGTTGGGTGGTGCGGCGACAGTGCCACTGGTGGAGTGTGTTGCGTGTTTCAGAACTGAGTACACGAGCTGCTTGCTCCTCTTGGAAGTTCCTGATGAGGGACATGGCTCCGTATGCACTGGTCAGGTAGTACCCACCTGGAACAAGACAGGAGAGAGGAGGGTCAAACATCTCTGCAGCCTGACACTGCTACAACAGCAGTCAATGATTGACACTCAACATTTAGTTGAGTTTATTTGAACATTACGATCTACAATAAAATGGAAGAAGAAAGGAAAGATTAGGAAGGACAATACACGTAAAGCAGATAGATGTGTGCTGTACCTTCTCCATGGAGCAGAGAGGGGTCCAGCAGCTCCATCATGTAGAGGATCTCGTTGTCTAGTTGAGGCATGTCACACTGGGCCAACACATAGGTAAGCATGGGCAGGAAGTCATCTGCCCCGTACAGACGTCCTGAGACACATACCGCATTAAAATTAGAGCGAGAGAGAGTCGATGTGTTTGTGTGTGTGCACGTGCACGTGCACGTGCGTGTGCATGTATGTGTGTCTATACATATGTAATTGGTTGTTTATGCATGTGTGTGTACACTATGTACCTGAGTTGTCCTCCATGATGGTATAGATGAGTTTACACACGTGCAGCAGCATGGTCACCTTCTTCTCAGGGGAGTAGAGTTTACACATGGTGTAAAACTTGTGCCGGATCTTCTCTATGGCAACTGGATCCGGAGGGAGTGCGTCGGTCACGCCCATTTCCTGTGGCTGCCGGACCTTGGCCAATGAGAGGTTCTCCTTAAGCTCCTGCCACGCCCCGCTGCGGACCTGGAACTCCTGGAGGGCCACCCCCACCACACCTTTCAGGGGCTTCAGGACAATCTTATGCATGGCCTTCTCTAGGACATAGTCTGTATGGGGGAGAGAGAGAGAGATACCATTATTTTGACAGCAATTACTGATAGGCACCATCCACTCTGTATAATGAATGATTTGCAGGAAGTCTTACTAGATTCCTGGTAGTAGTAGGAGTGGGATTCAATCCATATCATGTTATCAAGAAATAATGCAGACCTCAGGTTTTACAAGCACACTCAAATAGACTGGCTAATAGGAACCATGATATCATAAAACACACAGGATGAATGCAGAGTGGGAGTCAAGAGAGAGGAGAGAGAGAGAGAGAGAGAGAGAGAGAGGGAGAGAGAGAGAGATGACTGTGCAGTTGAATGGGGCAAACTCAGCAGAATTATACTGCAGACATCTGCAGACCTAGGCACAGCTTCTTCCAACACTGAATTTTCAACCCGTTCCCACATTGTCTCAACCCACTTTTCATTATTTCCTTTCTCCTGTGTCAGATTAGCTGCTGTCGAGGCTTCTCTTCCTGGGGTCTAAACAGTAAAATACATAATATATACTGAACAAAAATATAAATGCAACATGTAAAGTGTTGGTCCCAGAAATATTCCATATGCACAAAAAGCTTATTTCTCTCAAATTTCGTGCACACATTTGTTTAGATCCCTGTTCGTGAGCATGTCTCCTTTGCCAAGATAATCCATCCACCTGACAGGTGTGGCATATCAAGAAGCTGATTAAACATCATGATCATTATACAGGTGCACCTTGTGTACCTTTTTTTCACACAACACAATGCCACAGAGGTCTCAAATTTTGAGGGACCGTGCAATTAGCATGCTGACTGAAGGAATGTCCACCAAAGCTGTTACCAGAGAATTGAATGTTCATTTCTCTACCAACGTCATTTTAGAGAATTACGTCCAACCGGCTTCACAACCGCAGACCATGTGTAACCACGCCAGCCCAGGACCTCCATATCCAGATTTTTCACCTGCGGGATCGTCTGAGACAGGCCACCCGGACAGCTGATGAAACTGAGGAGTAGTTATGTCTGTAATAAAGCCCTTTGTGGGGAAAAACGTATTCTGATTGGCTGGGCCTGGCTCCCCAGTGGGTGGGCCTATGCCCTCCCAGGCCCACCCATGGCTGCGCCCCTGCCCAGTCATGTGAAAGCCATAGAAATGTATTTATTTCAACTGACTGATTTCCTTATATGAACTGTAACTCAGTAAAATCTTTGAAATTGTTGCATGTTACGTTTATATTTTTGTTCAGTATACATAAATATACATACATAGCACTACATTTACATTACAATTTAGCCATTCAGCTGACGCTCCCATCCAGAGTGACACACAGCTAGTGCATTCATCTTAAGATAGCCAGGCGAGACAACCACATATCACAGTCGCATCCCAACCACGTGTCACATACATAATACAATGTATTTATCTGGTTTTTTAAATCTGGTTTTATGGCAGAGTTCCATTTAGTCATGGTTCCATTTAGACTCTATTTAATAATGTGTGTTTCCCAGCCTCTGTTCTGGACTTGGGGGATTGTGAAGAGACCTCTGGTTACATGTCTTGTGTGATACCGAAGAGCGTCCGAACTGTGTGCCAACTGTTTTAACAGACAGTTTGGTACCTTCAACACATCAACACCTCGCACAAAGACCAATAGTGATGCAGTCAATCTCTCCTCAACTTTGAGCCAGGAGAGACTGACATGCATGTCATTCGCCTTCCGTGTACATGTAAGTGCAATACGTGCTGCTCTGTTTTGGACCAACTGCAATGTGCCTATGTCCTTCTTTGCCGCACCTGACCACACAACCGGACAGTAGTTCAGGGACAACAAAACTGGACAGTAGTTCAGGGACAACACAACTGGACAGTAGTTCAGGGACAACACAACTGGACAGTAGTTCAGGGACAACACAACTGGACAGTAGTTCAGGGACAACACAACTGGACAGTAGTTCAGGGACAACACAACTGGACAGTAGTTCAGGGACAACACAACTGGACAGTAGTTCAGGGACAACACAACTGGACAGTAGTTCAGGGACAACAAAACTGGACATTAGTTCAGGTGTGACAAAACTAGGTCCTTCTCAAAGTAGCCTAACCACTCCGTCTGAGAATGTGTGTCGTGTATAAATGTCTTTCTTCCTCGTTCTGTAAGTCAAGATCAGCAACACATTTCCTTCCTTGTAGGTGTTAGATCACTGTATCATTATCAAAAGTATGGTTTAAAAATATTACAAAATATAATTGTTCCAGTAAGCAGTATAACCAACAGGTTAAACCAGACTTGTGACATTTCACTGACAATTAGTCAGATTTTATCAAAGCACTCATGTCAACTTGGACATCACCCTGTCATCTTGAGTTCTATTGGATAGGCAACTGTCCATCCATGATAAGGCAGAGGATGTTAATCCATAACACCTACATTTTTCAGCGATATGTTATGATCAATGATATCAAAGGCTGTACTTAAGTCTAACAAAACAGCTCCCACAAGCTTCTTATTATCAATTTCTTCTTTCAGCCAATCATCAGTCATTTGTGTCAGTGCCGAGCATGTTGAGTACAATTCTCTATTAAGCTCTGTTGTTAATTTGTTGAACACATTGTATTTGGTCGAACATGATGTTTTCCAAAAGTTTGCTAAGAACCAGTAACAGGCTGATTGGTCTGCTGTTTGAACCATTAAAGGGTGCTTTGCTATTTTTAGTCAGCGGAATGACCTTGGCCTCCCTTCAGCGTGCCACTCCATGTTCTAGGCTTAGATTGAAGATGTTGCAAATAGGAGTCGCAATGTATTCCGCTACCAACCTCAGTAATTTACCATCCAAGTTGTCGGTTCCAGGTGGTTTGTCCTTATTTATAGATAACAATACTTTTTTCACCTCTTCCACACTAACTTTGCGGAATTCAAAGCTACAGTGCTTGTCTTTCATTATTTGGTCCGTTATACATGATTATGAAGGCTCAGCATTTGTTGATTGCATGTCATGCCCAAGTCTGCTAAAAAGGTTTTTAAAGTTGTTGGCAATTTAAAAGGGTTTTGTTATGAATGAGCCATCAGCCTCAATGAAGGATGAGTTAGCTTTTCTGCCTAGAATTTCAATTAAGGTACTACAAAGCTTTTTACTATCGTTCATCTTTGTCCATAGTATAGTTTCTTCTTCTTTTTGTTTAGTTACGTGATTTCTCAATTTACTCTATGTTTGCCAATCTGCTGTGTTGCCAGACTTATTTGCCATTCCCTTAGCCTCATCCCTCACAGCCATACTGTTTTTAAATTCATCATCTATCAGTTTCTAACAGTCAGTTTCTTTATGAGCGCATGCCTGTCAGTAACTGGAAGAAGCAATTTCATAAATGCTTCAAGTGCAGCGTCAGGATGTTCCTCATTACACACATCAGACCAACAAATATTTTTCACATCTTCAACATAGGAATCATTGCAAAACCTCTTGTATGATTGCTTATACACTATTTTAGGTCCAGTCTTTAGAACTTTGGTTTCCTAGATACAGTGGGGGAAAAAAGTATTTAGTCAGCCACCAATTGTGCAAGTTCTCCCACTTAAAAAGATGAGAGAGGCCTGTAATTTTCATCATAGGTACACGTCAACTATGACAGACAAATTTAGATTTTTTTTCTCCAGAAAATCACATTGTAGGATTTTTAATGAATTTATTTGCAAATTATGGTGGAAAATAAGTATTTGGTCACCTACAAACAAGCAAGATTTCTGGCTCTCACAGACCTGTAACTTCTTCTTTAAGAGGCTCCTCTGTCCTCCACTCGTTACCTGTATTAATGGCACCTGTTTGAACTTGTTATCAGTATAAAAGACACCTGTCCACAACCTCAAACAGTCACACTCCAAACTCCACTATGGCCAAGACCAAAGAGCTGTCAAAGGACACCAGAAACAAAATTGTAGACCTGCACCAGGCTGGGAAGACTGAATCTGCAATAGGTAAGCAGCTTGGTTTGAAGAAATCAACTGTGGGAGCAATTATTAGGAAATGGAAGACATACAAGACATGATAATCTCCCTCGATCTGGGGCTCCACGCAAGATCTCACCCCGTGGGGTCAAAATGATCACAAGAACGGTGAGCCACAGAACCACATGGGGGGACCTAGTGAATGACCTGCAGAGAGCTGGGACCAAAGTAACAAAGCCTACCATCAGTAACACACTACGCCGCCAGGGACTCAAATCCTGCAGTGCCAGACGTGTCCCCCTGCTTAAGCCAGTACATGTCCAGGCCCGTCTGAAGTTTGCTACAGTGCATTTGGATGATCCAGAAGAGGATTGGGAGAATGTCATATGGTCAGATGAAACCAAAATAGAACTTTTTGGTAAAAACTCAACTCGTCGTGTTTGGAGGACAAAGAATGCTGAGTTGCATCCAAAGAACACCATACCTACTGTGAAGCATGGGGGTGGAAACATCATGCTTTGGGGCTGTTTTTTTGCAAAGGGACCAGGACGACTGATCCGTGTAAAGGAAAGAATGAATGGGGCCATGTATCGTGAGATTTTGAGTGAAAACCTCCTTCCATCAGCAAGGGCATTGAAGATGAAACGTAGCTGGGTCTTTCAGCATGACAATGATCCCAAACACACCGCCCAGGCAACGAAGGAGTGGCTTCGTAAGAAGCATTTCAAGGTCCTGGAGTGGCCTAGCCAGTCTCCAGATCTCAACCCCATAGAAAATCTTTGGAGGGAGTTGAAAGTCCGTGTTGCCCAGCGACAGCCCCAAAACATCACTGCTCTAGAGGAGATCTGCATGGAGGAATGGGCCAAAATACCAGCAACAGTGTGTGAAAACCTTGTGAAGACTTACAGAAAACGTTTGACCTGTGTCATTGCCAACAAAGGGTATATAACAAAGTATTGAGAAACTTTTGTTATTGACCAAATACTTATTTTCCACCATAATTTGCAAATAAATTCATTACAAATCCTACAATGTGATTTTCTGGATTTTTCTTTCTCATTTTGTCTGTCATAGTTGACGTGTACCTATGATGAAAATTACAGGCCTCTCTCATCTTTTTAAGTGGGAGAACTTGCACAATTGGTGGCTAAATACTTTTTCCCCCACTGTATATGGTATGTTATGAAGACACTCACTCAACACCTAAGATGTTAACTGT